AGCATTGGAGGAAGACATGTTTTAATGGAAACCATCAAAGCATTTCCCTCATACATCACAGTGGCTTCATTACAAGTCTTTCTCCTCTAAATCCCACCTTCTAGCCATAGTCCATCTACTTATTGTACTCGCCCTCTGCTCACTCCCCAGTTATCTAACATGAGCTGGCAATTGTTTGGCTAAATGTGCTTGGCTGCTCACCTAAATGTGGGAAATTTGAGTCCACCCAGAATGGTTCAGAGGGATGGAATAGAGTCCTTGAAAACCCCGAGGATCAAGGTCTACTCTGACACAGGTGGGTGTCAAGCGTTGGGGAGCAAAATCTGATTGGTCCTGATTTGTCCGATTTAGTATAAGGCTTGTGGGCTCTCGAGAGCTTGCCGGACTCTTTGTGCAGTCACTCGCAAACCAATAGGCCATGTAGTAAAGAAAACGGCCATCTTTTGTGCACCATTCAGCTTGCGCCTACTCTCTCCAGAGGGCTTGGGCTACAAATGGGGCTGTTTCGTTGGTAAAAACAAAAGAGGCTTAGCGAAGGATAGACACAGTCTGTATCTGAAAATGTTCAACCAGTGACAACAGCCCCACTGCCGGACCATAAAGAAGGGTACGTTTTGGTACAGCTAGAGAGCAGCTCATGACCCACCACAACAAAATTCCTAATTTGTAGCGAGTCAATGAGTGAGTAAAGAGTAGGATATTTGGAGGTGACACTTTGACCATGAATAAATGCCATATAGAGGAGACTAAATAATTGCTTAAAGGTACCTTCCATTCAGTCTACTGCAGGATGATCCTAGGACAGTGTCATGACAGGTTTTTTTCTGTAGAACCACAGCTTTTCGGTTACAATATGTGTTTGGAATCCATATGGATTTTAAGAGCAACATTTTTATTTTTTAATTGAAAAAGGCTGCAATTTGGGACCTTTTAATGCTGACCTATTACCTTAAAGAAGATAACCCTTTTGACTGAGGTCTATACAAACTGCAGTAGCATATGGCCAAAGTATATACAGTATTTTCTATAAATCATGATAATAGACATAATTGAGGAAGCCATGGTTCTACAGGAAAACCAATTTGGAGACAGGAGAGGTAGTTGTTATTGTTGCCATGGAGTGGGAACAGACATGGAGTACAAGCTTCCCAGATCTGTCTCCTTGTCTTGGAGACATGGAGGGTTTATTAGTGGATGGGCTGGGACAGTGGAGTAGGAGATTTGTTTACAGGATCTTCCTTTGTTCTGAAGAGTTCTGGTCAGTGGCCAGGTCCTCGACTACTTGGTCTTGTCTTATATTCCATAGACAGTAAGTCTTATTTATATGTTATAACTTAAAGGGTGGAACTCCCAACCACAGATTCTAGGAGCAGAGGTAAAAAGACAGCAAAGGGCTTACATCTGATAACTATGCTGACTAAGAGAAAGTCCCTTTCCCCCTCAGCTACTATAAAAATGCTACTCTTATATTTTTAGTTAGTATCTGCTAAGAGAATGATCAGGTTTGACCTAGAGAGGGTTAAACCAGGCTGCTTCTCGGAGGCAAGGATTTGTCTGACATACTTTGGACATGTTGCAAGGAGGAACCAGTCCTTGGAGAGGGACGTCATGCTTGGAAGGGTGGAGGGGAGGGACAGTACAGGAGAGGAAGACCCTCGATGAGGTGGATTGATTCAGTGACTGGGGTAATGAGGGTAGGTGTGTCAGAGACAATAAGATTGGCACAGGATAGAGCAGGGTTTAGGGTTGTTGTACATAGGGTCGCTATGAGTTGCAGGAGACTTGATGGCATCTAACAATTACAACATCCCTTGGTTATGTGTTTGATAATTTTCACATTCTGTTGGGTCATCTTTTCTTTGGAATGGGAATAAATATGGGGTTTTTTTTTCCCAGTTAGCCAGATGGCTGTCCTCCAGATTTTTTTGGCAGCCTAGTGAGCATGTCCAGGGCAGCGTCTGTTTATTAAAATATGTCAAGTGATATGTCGTCGATTCCTGGGGCCTTGTTTTTGCCAGTTCCTTTAGAGCAGCTTGAAATTCCTCCTTCATCACCACGGACTCTTGATCATATGTTGTTTCATGAAAGTCTTCCGTGTCAGCAAATTCTTTTTGGTATAGTGACTCTGTGTACTCCTTCCATCTTCTTTTGATGCTTCTTGAGTCATTCAAAATTCTACCCACAGTATCCTTAGGTATTGCAACTTGAGGCTTGAATTTGTTCTTTAGTTCCTTCAGCTTAAGAAAGCTAAGTGAGTTTATCTCTTTTGGTTTTCTAACTCCAGCTCTTTGTACATTTTAATACTTTGCTTTGTCTTCTCATACTACCCTTTGAAATCTTTTCAGCTCCTTAACTTTTTTTATTTCTTCCCTTTGCTTTGGCTTCTTTGTGCTCTAGTTCAATATTCAGAGTCTCTTCTGACATCCATCTTGGTCTTCTTCCTCCCTCTTTGAAATGATATTTTACATTCTTCATTGATGATATTCTTGATATCTTCCCACAGTTCATCTGTCTTCACTCATTCATCCATCAGTATGCAAGGCCTCAAATCTGTTCCTGAGAAGGTCTTTAAATTGAGGATGGATAGACTCAAGGTCACACTCTGGTTTTCGTGAATTTGATCTGATTTTCTTTAGCTTCAATTTGAATTTGGACGTGAGCAGTTGATGGTCTTTTCCACAAACAGCACCTGGCCTAGTTTCACAGCTAATATTGAGCTTCACCAATGATTTTCCCCACAAATATTATCAATCTGACTCCTAAGTGGCCACCCATCAGGTAAGGTCTGTGTGTATAGTCACTGTTTTTTATAAAATGTATTTGCAATGACTAAATCATTGATTTTACAGAATTCTAGAATTCATTGTTTCCAGCCTCATTTCTGTCACAAAGTCCATGTTTCCCGACTACTGATCTTTCTTGCCTGTTCCCAACTTTTGCATTCCAGTTACCCATTAATACCACATGCAAGCAAAAGCCTGAAGATTATCCAAAAATGACTGGCCAAGTACATCAACAGAGAACCTCCTGATGTGGAAGCTGGGTTTAGAAGAGGCCTTGCCACTAGGGACATTATAGCCAATGTTAGATGGATCCTAGCTGAAAGCAGAGAGTACCAGAGGAATGTCTGTGTTTCATTGACTGTGTGAAGGCATTTGACTGTGTGTAACCTTCAGAAGAATGGGAATCCCAGAACACTTGATTAAACTTATGTGAAACCTGTATTTGGGCCAGGAAGTAGTCATCAGAACAGAGCAGGGAAACACTTCACAGTTCAAAATCAGGAGAGGTGTACACCAGGGAAGCATCCTATCTCCACACGTTTTCAATCTATATGCAGAACATATCACTACACTTTATGAGGAGGAATGTGGCATCAGGATTGGAGGAAGAGTCATCAACAATCTGCATTATGAAGATGACACAACCCTGCTTGCTGAAACTGAGGGCCTGAAGTGTTTACTGCAGAAGGTCAAGGACTGCAGCCTTTAATATGGATTGAAGCTCAACATTAAGAAGACAAAGATTCTCACCACAGGGTCAGTTGTCAGCATCATGATAGATGGAGAAAAGGTTGAGATTGTTAACAGCTTCATCTTGCTTGGCCCACAATAAATGTTCTTGGTGTCAGCAGCCAGGAAATCAAAAGACTAATTGCATTAGGAAAGTCACAGCTGTCAGGGACCTATCCTGAGTACTGAAGAGCAACAATGTGTCTAAAGTGTACCTGAACCAGGCCTTGGTCTTTGCAATTGTTTGCTATGCATCAGAGAGCTGGACAGTGACCAAGGATGATAGAAGAATCAATGCCTTTGAGTTGTGGTGCTGGAGAAGAGTATTCAACATACCATGAACTACTAAGAGAACAAATGGAGACGAAGATTTTGAAGCTCCATTTCACAAACTTTGGGCATGTTGCAAGGAGGGACCAGTCCTCGGAGAAAGGCATCATTATGCTTGGAAAGATGGACAGCATAAGAAAGACCTCTGATGAGATCGATTAACATAGTGACCTTGGCAATGGGGACAGGTGTGTCAGAGACAATGAGATTGACTCAAGATAGGGCAGGGTATAGAGCTATTGTTCATAGGGTCGCTATGAGTCATAGTGGACACAGGGCACAGAACAACAGCATCCCTTGGTTGCATAAGAGTCCTTCTGCAAAAGATCTTACAAGGTGTTCGTTTCCTATAACTTTATTGATAATATCTTTATCAAAGAGTTTACTTTCAGATTGCTATAGTTACATAAAGTCTGATGTTAAACCCTGATACTGGATGTAAATATGTCAGGAAACCGTGACTGACAGCTGCCATTTCGACTCTATCTTTTTTGGCTGGTCTTCTAAACTCAACTCACTCCCACTGCCTCTGGCGGCCCACAAGTCGGTAAGTCTGTAATTGTGCTGTGAACTCAAATCAGCTATCAGCCAAAGAAGGTGGCAATTTCCTCCAAAGCGAATGATTTACAACCTCAGAAAGAAGGGGCAGCTATGAGTTGGTTCGGACTGGGCCACAATGAGTTACCCTCTTGCAAGATAAAGACTCTAAACTACGGTACTGATAGATCCTTAAGCGGATGTTGTTTCATGCCTCCAGGCTTCTCTATTTCATTTTCTCAGCAAAGAATGCTCTTTACATCTTTGCCTAGAAAACTCTTACTCTTTCTTACAGGCTTGGTTCTAAGGTTACCACGTTTGTGAAGTCTTTCTTTTTCCCCCAACTGAGACAGAGAATACTGGTTTACTTCCTGGATTCATACTGGATCTACCTGCAGACGTGACGTTCAGGGTTACACGCCCAGCAAAACGAAGAGAGCAGCCGAGCTGGAGAAACGGCGCATGCTCAGACATCCGGCGCCCGGCGTCCCGCACCTCTTCCCGGCCCGGCCGGCAATCGGAGGCTTCCTCTGCGTTCAGGTTCCGAGTCCGCCGGAACCGAGTTGAGGCGGTGCAGGTTCCCTGCCGGAAGAGGGGCCGAGGGACCTGAAGGCCTGCAGCATGGCGCGGTCCGGGAATAAGGTAGACAGACTTTTAGGCTTGGGTCATGTCCATCTCCACGCCCGGGCTTCGGAAGCAGGAGTGATGGGATCGCGGCGGTGCTAAAGAGTGGGGAGGGGAGGGAGAAGCTTGGTGATGGGCTGGGAGGGCGTGCGCTCCAGGAGGCGCTATGAGCATTGCTGAGGATTTGAACTCTGAAGTCGTGAATGAGAGCCTCGCCCATTCTCCATCCTCCGGTCACGCAGCCCCCGGGCCACGCGCGCCTCTTTCCCCTCCTCCTCCTCGTCCCCCTCCTCCCCCTCGTCCCCGTCCTCCTCATCCTCCCGCCTCCCGCCCGCGGCCGTGCCCCCTCCACCTTCGCTCGGCCCCGCCTCTAACCCCGCCTCCACCTTTACTTCGGAGCGCGGGCTTTTTGGTGTTTAGGAGACGGCGAACTTTTCTGGATACAAGCACGAACTTGAAATGTAAAGCATCAGATTCCTACCTCATAATTTTATATCTAGCAGTTATTGAAAGTTTAGTGCGCTTCAATGTTCTAAGTAGTTTATTCTTAGTTAAACCTCATAACAACTCTTTGAAGGTGGGAATAATTGTTCCCATTTTACAGATCACAAAAACCAAGGATGTGTCAGAGGGGGGTGTGTGTGTGTGTGTGTGTATTAATATACATATATACTGCATGACACTATATATGTTGTTGGTAGGTGCCGTTGGGTCGAGTGTAACTCATAGCGACTCTAATCAAAACATCTGACCCCTATTGTATCCTGTGCCATCCTCACACTTCCTGACATTCCAGAGCCCATTGCGGCAATCACTGCATCAGTACACCAGGTCGAGGGTCTTCCTCTCCTTTGCTGACTCTCCCCACCTTTTTTAGCATCATGTGCCTCTCCAAGGAATATGTTGTTGTTAAGTGCCTTCGAGTCATAAGCGACTCATAGCGACCCTATGAATGAAAGATGTGGACACTTGTATAACTTTCATAGGGTTTCCAGACGCAAGCTATTTTGGAACTGGATGCCACTTCTGCTTCCAAGCTTGTTTTAATCGGTTAGCTCCACCAAACACTATCCACCATGGGTAACCATTGTTGCATTTGACACATCAGTGTCACAGTGTTCAGCTTCCAGCAACCACGAGTTACCTCTGTACAGCAAGTGGACAGACCAGGACTATACGACCGAGAAGAATGTTTCACCAAAAACAAAAACAGATCTGAAGGCTATGGATTAGAGGCACCCACCTTTGGCTTGGTAGTATCACTTTGTGTCCTCTAGGCCAACTGATCTCTCTCGATGCTGTTGTTCTTAGCGTCATGTCTCCAAGGAATATATGTACTTATACTATCAGTCAGTCTTGAGTGTCTTCCTCTCCTTTTACAACTCTCCTCTTTTCTAAGCTCCAGTGTTATTAGCAGAGGCAAGCACAGCCACGCCTGATAACGTGCCCCAAATTTGTAAGATGACGTCTCACCTTGCGTGGTGGTAGGGAGCACCCCTGGCTACGCTTCTGCCAAGATAGATTTGTTTGTTCCTTTGACATTTTGAGGTATATTCACTCCTGTTTGTCAACACTGTAATTCAAAGGATCAGTGTTTTGCACTTCCTTATTTGTTGGAGTTCACTTCGCAGAGGGAAAGCCTGTCATGTACACACATACAGGGGAGAAAAACTGACCTGGTGACAGACTAAAAGAAGTTGTTGTCATGTGCCATTTAGTCAGAGCCGACTCTGCTGACCCCCCAGTGGGTTTTCAGAGGCTGTAAAATCCCAAGTGAAGGGATTCCTCATTCTTCTGCTTTTGAGCCAGCAGCTCAGCTCCAGAAGACTAGGCCACCAGAGCTTCCCTAAAATAAGCCATTTCCTTTTATTAGGAAAGGAAAATTTAAAGCAAGGAACTGAAGGGCTGGGTTAGAAGAGATTCTGCTGTGGGTAAAGGGAAGAAACCAAGTATACCCTTACACACACACACGCATGCACACACACGCCCCTCCCCCCAAACATAACTAGGTTGAAGAATGCTTAGAGTGATAAAATACATAGCCTAAGGAGAAACCAGGAAATCAAAAAATGTATTGCGATGGGAAAGTCTGCTGTTAGGGACCTCTCTAAAGTACTCAAGAGCAACGGTGTCTCTGGAGACTAAGGTGCACCTGATACAGGCCATGGTCTTTGCAATCACTTGTTATTCATCATAGAGTTGGACAATGAGTAAGGAGGACAGAAGGAGAATTGATGGCTTTGAGCTGTGGTGCTGGAGAAGAGTATTGAATGTACCATGGACCGCCAAGAAAACAAACAGATTCATCCTGGAGAGGGTTAAACCAGGCTACTCCTTGGAGGCAAGGATTCTGAGGCTTCGTCTGACATACTTTGGACATGTTGTAAGGAGGGACAGGTCCTTGGAGAGGGACATCATGCTTGGGAGGGTGGAGGGACGGCGCAGGAGGGGAAGACCCTCTATGAGGTGGATTGATTCAGTGACTGGCAGCATGATTGGCATAGGATAGAGCAGGGTTTGGGGCTGTTGTACATAGGGTCGCTATGAGTCGCAAATGACTGACGGCACATAACAACAACAACAGGGAGAAACCATTTTCTGCTTGACTTTGATCTAGTTTTGCAAGCTTAGCTACAAACAAAGGCAAGGACCAATCATCCCCAGAGCTAGTCACTAAGTCAGGGAGTTAGATCTAGCTCAGTGTAGATGAAGCTATTTATCAGAGGAAATCTCAGCAGCAGCCTGCTTTGTACAGATGACACTCTTGCTTGTAGAATGTGAAAAGGACTTGAAAAGCTTGTTGCAGAAAATTAGACTAGAGTCATCAACATGGATTACATCTCACTGTCAAGAAAATAAAAACTGTCACCACTGGACCAATAGGCCATGCCATGATAGATGGAGAAAAGATTGAAATTGTCAATGACTTGAGCTTACATGGATCCACAGTCTCTTGGTACCATCAGACAAGAGATCAAGAGACATATTGCACTGAGAAAGTCTGCAGTCAAGGACCTTCTAAATTACTAAGGAGCAGTGATGTTAGTTTGAGGACTAAAGTGTGCCTGATTCAAACTATGCTATTTTCAATCACTTCTTGTGCCTCTGAGAGGTGGGCAATGAATGAAGAATGACAGAAGAGGCCTTGAAGAAAGATACAGCTGTCCCATGGACTAACAAAAGAACAAACCGATATGTCTTGGAGAAAAGAAAGCCAGAGGCTCTTTGGAGGCAAAGGTGACAAAGCCTTGTCTCACATGCTTTGGGCACATTGCTTGAAGAGACTCTTCTTAGACAGGGACATCAGGCTTGGAAAGGTAGAAGGTCTGTCTGCAAAAGAGAGGAAGACCCTCAACCAGATAGATTGACGCAGTGACTGCAGCAGTGTGTTCAAGTTTGTCTAAATGATGAGGATGGCACAGTACAGGACAGGGTTCAGATCTGTTGTTCATAGGGTCACTATGAGTCAGACTCAACATCACCCAACACCACCATACACTGATTTTCCAGCTTTCACGTGCATATGAAGCTTAAGCTCAAGATCACTGTCAATCCCGACTCAAGTGTCTGGGGTTGTATATTGTAAAAAGAGGGTGTAAAGGTTTGGGATGTCACCTAGGCCTGGCTCCTCAGGTGGGTGTTCTCTAGAAAGGTTGCTTCCTGAGTTGTTAGAACAGAGGAAGAACACACAAGTTGGGCAGAAAGAGTTAAAAGGCCAAAGAAATTTACTATGCAGGAGACTGGTGAAGGTTGGTCTATTGAGAGAATGAGGATAGACACCGTCCCCTCTTTGGCTCTTCACTATGTAAGCTTGATCCTTCCTGACGGTGCTCGTACCTGTGCTTATCCCAGTGAAGCAAGCAGTCCTTGCTGCAGCTGTTGGGATGCTGATTTATCCTGCCAGCTGGTGCTATCATTCTGTTTTCTTGCTTCTTCCTTAGACCTTTGTTACCATGTTTGTTATTTCTGATCCTAACAGAGGGGACTGCCTTTCACTCTCAGAGCCACTGGCAGACCCAGACCCCCAGAGATGCACAGATTTTTGGGTTAGCAGCACAACAGACTATGGACAATACCAGCAGAGCTCCCTGTATAAAGATGAAACAATTAAAAATACTGTGGCTTCTGTCAGGTGCACTTTAGTCTTTAAACTGACATCCTTGCACTTTAAAGACATCCTTGACAACAAACACATTTTCCCAGTGTAACATGTCTTTTGATTTCTTTGGATCCACATAAAATGAAGTATTTTAAATCTTCAGTCTTTCTCTCTCTCTCTCTCTCTCTCTCTCTCTCTCTCTCTTTCTCTCTCTTTCTCTGTCTCTCTCTGTTGCCAACTGTTAGACTAGTGGCAAGGGGTTTTGTTTTCTTGATGTCTAGATGTAATCCATAGTGAAGGCTGTGGTCTCTTGGATCTTTTGCAGTCAGAACTTCAAGTTTTCACTTTCTGTAAGCAAGGTTGTATCTTCTACATAACACAGGTTGTTAATGAGTCTTCCTCCAATTCTGATCCCACATTCTTCCTATACTCTAGCATTTTGAATAATTTGCAAAACAAACAGATTTAATAGATATGATGGATGGATACAACCTGATACATTTCCTGATTCTAAACTGCACTGTTCCCTTGTTCTGTTTGAAAAACTCTTTGTTGAACTACATCCAGGTTCCACATGTACACAGTTGAGTGTTCTAGAATCCCCATTCTTCTGACTGTGGGCTGATTCCTATTTATTTATTTTGATTTTTATTATTGCCAGAAAGAAGCTTGAAGTGTCCATTCTTGTGTTTCCAGACAAGAATTTCTATACTGTGAACCATTAGTGCCATTGATTAGATAGATACCAGCTTCCTTTCTTGAAAAAAACCCATTAGTCTTTGATTTGGAGTTTTTCTGGTTTAAAGTTGCTTCTGTAAACATCTGTTGAATAACTGCATCAGCATTGTTTGACCTACATGTGCGGGACTTGGCTCCAGTCTGTTTCAGGGTTCAGATGCAGTCCCGTGGGCTCATTCTGGGCGCAGGATGAAGGAATAACAGCATACACGTCTCTTGGCAGGAGTGTCTAATTGTTAGAAGGCATCAGGACTAAAAGATTAATCAGTGCTCTAAAATAAATTTGATTAATATGCAAAAAATAAAAGAAGGCATCAGGACTATAGAAGGATTCTCCATAAGGAAAATGTGTCTGTCACACATACATAGTTCAGGGAGCTCTGGGGCGTACACCGTAGGAAGTTGTTCTGCTACTTGAAAGTTGAAACCTTTCTGATGTTTTTAATCTACTGGTGGCTCCGCAAGAGAAAGATGGACCATCTCCCATGGGACTTACAGCCTTGGAAAGCCTGCTGGAGGGTCAGCTATGAGTTCTTTCTGACCTGCCAGCAGAGAGAGAGGAGGGTATGCGTTCTTCATGTAGAACTGTTCCTCGCCCCCCAGATCAGCATAGGTTTTGTGGTTGAAATAAGCAGTGGACATTTCTTTCTTTTTCCCTGTCACTGTTAATAACATTTTCTTGAATACTCTCTGGGACTTTGTTTCTAGGCCGCTGTTGTGCTGTGCCTGGATGTGGGCTTTGCCATGAGTAACTCTCTTCCTGGTGAAGAATCGCCATTTGAACAAGCAAAGAAGGTGATGACCATGTTCGTGCAGCGACAGGTAGGTTTCAGATGGCCACCAGAGCTCCTTAGTCCTAGGATCTTACCTAAGAGATGTCTGTGTGATTTCTTCCTTAGTATCTTAAAAAATATACTATTACAAATACACTTGAGGCTCCTTGTGTATCTCTCCCTCATTCTGTTCTTCCCTCCTTTCCTCAGAATTTTATTAATTATAATTGTTGTTGTTATTGTTATGTGCCGTCGAGTCGCTTGCAACTCCTAGTGACCCTATGTCAACAACAGTCCTAAACCCTGCTCTGTCCTGTGCCAGTCTTACTGTCCCCGACGCACCTGTCCCCATTGTCCCAGTAACTGAATCAAACCGCCAGATAGAGGCTGTTCCCCTCCTGCGCTGTCCCTCCACCCTCCCAAGTATGACTTCCTTCTCCAAGGATTTGTATTTTAGACTTTTGCCACCTCAACATATCTTCATTAGTAATATTGAGTATTATATAAGCTCTTCAGAACTCATTGTAGCTGAAACCACATGGTAAATATAATCCTGTATTTTTTTTCTCAATCAACTTTATATTTTTGTTTGCACAGGAGGAGATTGCCCGTCCTTCTCCAGCGGAGCATCAACTTTGTATTTTTGAGATACATTCATGTTAATAAGCATTGCTCACATTCCTTTGTACTGTACTGTAACATCCTATTCAATAAATGTGCTGTAGGGTATGTTTAGGGAGCTCTAGTGTCAAGAAGCTGTGCTGCAATCCCAAAGGCACGTGGTTCGAGGCCACCAGCTGCTCTGCGGAAGAAGGATGGGCAATCTCCCTTGCAATTAACTGCCTCTGAAAACCCGCTGGAGGGTCAGCTATGGGTGGGTTCTGACTCCACGGTAAAACAACTACAATGTCATGTTTTCATTCTCTGGCTAATGTGTAGTTTCCAGTTGTGCCTTGTTTTAAGCAGTGCTGAAGTGAAATTCCCTGTCAGTTTTCTCCTTGATACATGTGCATGACTTCCTCTAGGTTTTAGATGCCTCTGAATGGGATTGCTGAAGTTGAGGGTATGAGCAGCAGATTTAATCCACAGAAAATGTAAACCTTAGTCATTCCAAAGAATAGACTAAAATGTTTTCAAATTATTCATCATTAGTTTTCCTTGAGAATTAGAATTTGGGTTGTCTGAACGCCATCAAGAACAGTAGCCACCCTCCTGGCACTCCTGCCCTTGCTCATGTTGACATGAACGTGACATGAAAGATGGGACCTGTTGTCCCATGAAAAGTATACTAGATATCAGGTACTGTCCTCGCCCATCAAGTCATGGTTCATCCAGGCCAGTGTTCTGGATCTGACTCTGTCATAGGGGGCTCATTCAGTGAAACAGGAGTGTCCTGCTCCGTGCAGATTAGATGCCTAAAAGCTTCCAGTTCACAGTGACAGTGTTTATAACCTGACATTTTTCTCCAGGTGTTCGCTGAAAGCAAAGATGAGATTGCTTTGGTCCTATTTGGTACGGATGACACTGACAACGCCCTTGCTAGTGAAGACCAGTATCAGAACATCACAGTGCACAGGCACCTGATGCTGCCAGATTTTGACTTGCTGGAGGACATTGAAAGCAGAATCCAACCAGGTTCTCAGCATGCTGACAGTATCCTTTCTCAGCCAGCGAAGACTCTTTTTGGTCTGGGGCGGGTGGGAGGGGGAAATGTAATCCAATTTGGAGAGAGTCTTAGCATCCTAGCTTTAACTGTGTGGATGTGCTTGACTCTGAGGATGTGGTGATGATAGCTGTTGGGATTTAATGTGTAGGTAATCAGGTGGGATGCATTGCTTCCAGGCACATTAGTCCCTTGCCTCTGTCCATACTGTTATTGTAAGGTGCCCTTGAGTCAAGTACAACAGATCTGAACCCTGTTCAATCCTGTGCCATCTTCATCATCTCTGACACACTCGAGGCCATATTTGCAGTCACTGTGTTAGTCCATTTCATGGAGGGTCTTCCTTTCTCTCATAGACTCTCCAACTTTCCAAGCATGATGACCCTTTCCAAGGAATAACCTCTCCTAGCAACATGCTTAAAGTATGTGCGATGAAGCCTCCAAGGAGTTCTTTTGGCAATCCTTGGGATAGTCAACTCTTCTCCAACACCACAAATCAAAGGCATCAATTCCCTCTATGTCATCCTTATTCATTATCCAGCTCTCAGATGCATAGCTAGTGATTGAAAAGATCCTGGTCTAAATCAAGGGCACCTTAGTTTTGAGCCTGACATTATTGCTCCTCAGTAGTTTGGAGAGATCCCTGACAGTCAGCTTGCCCTCTGCAATATGAGCTGTTAGAAGGCATAGAAACAGCAAATTTTAGGAAATATGTATCTATAGTGATTGTGCAAAGGGTCTAGTGTTGGTGATGATTAGAAATAGTTGAAGATTGTTGTTGTTATGTGCCATCAAGTCGCCTGTGACCCATAGGGACCCTATGTACAGCAGCTCTGAACCTTGCCCTGTTCTGAGCCAGTCTCACTAATTCCAACATACCAGTTCCCATTGCCCCAGTCACTGTGTCAATCCATCTCATCTGGTGTCTTCCTTTCCTTCACAGTACCTCTACCTTTCCAAGCATGAGGCCGTCCAAGGACCAGTCTCTCCTGGCCATGTGCCCAGACTATATGAGACAGAGCTTCAAAATCCTAGCCTCTAAGGAGAGACTAGTTTTTACCCTCTCCAAGACAGACCTTTTTGTTTTCTTGGCAGTCCATGGTATGTTCAAGACTTCTCCAGCACCACAACTCAAAGGCATCTATTCTTCTTCTGTCCTGTTTAGTCATTGTCCAGCTCTCTGATGTGTAGAAAATAACTGTGAAGACCATGGCCTGGATTAGGCGCACCTTAGTCTCTAGACTGATATCCTTGTTTTTTAGCACTCTGGAGAGGTCCCAGACAGCACATTTTCCCAATGCAATTCGTCTTCTGATTTCCTGACTGCTGGTGTTAAGAGTGTTGATTGTGGAGCCGAGCAGTAAAATACTCATTTCTTCTATTATGGGGATTTTTCATGACAAGAATTTCATTCATAGTCAGACTCTGAGATTTCTAATTTCTTCCACATACTCCATTGGTTTACAGGTGTCTTGTCTCTAAACAGTTCTTCTATCTCTGACCACTTGGGGGCACTGTTGTGCTGAGGCTCACTTGCAAATGCTCCATTGTGGCCCACTTCATGCTTAGTATTCCAAAAAGATTCCTTCTTGATACTCTAAAAAGCATCCTAACTGACTCAAAGGCACTCAACAACAACCAAAAACAACAGATTCGTTTTGGGCTGATTTTTATATTTGCATGTTTCAGGAGGGACATTTATCAGTAAATGCTAGTGAAATAAACTGGAACAGAGGCAGTCAGGCTGGTACTCTTAACCATCACATCGTCAGCCTGGGTCTGCAGTTTGTTTATTTTGTGTTATGTATATATTTGGAGGGGGCAGTAGGCACTGTCAGCTTTGCTGGAAAACCGTAGCTTGTTCTTGGAGTAAAGGGGCTATTGCGGTGCAGTCTTTTGCCCTTAACTGGCTGAGTCTTGGATGCGCTTGTCGTATGCATGGATGTGATTCAGCAGGAAACGGTGTAAGTGTTTTAACTGCAGAGATTTGGAAATGGGTTTGTGTACAGACGTGTGAGGGTCGGTGGGGTCAGTGCATTCTTACTTGTTAATCAGATTGCATGTGTGTGTGGTTCAAGAAGCCTGCAATGGAATTCGATGGCTCAGCTCAGTCTCCGTGCTTCATTGAGTTGTAGTTGGTGGGAGTTTCACTGAGAGTAATAAACAATTGGGCTTATCTCAAGTTCCTTTAAGCTAATTACCAAGCATGGTATTTTATTAGTAGTGCTGTGCCTACCCATTCTTGCCGAGTTGGTTCTCACAGTGGATGCCCCATTGGGCCGAGTAGAACGGCCCCACAGGGGTTCCATGGTTGTAAATCTTTTGGCGAGCAGAGTGCCTCCTTCTACTCTGGTGGAGTAGCTGGTAGGGGTTTAAACCACCATCTTTTGGGTTAGCACCTAATGTGTGTAAGTGCTTAACAACCATTTTCCCCAAGTTCCTTACTTGGCATGATCTATGGTAATTTAAATGCACAAACACTCTGGCCGACTTCCTGATGCATTACCAGTTTAACTAAACACATGTATCCTTTGCCTGCAGAAAAAACACCTGCACTGAAACCTTAGGCTTCAGTGTTTATTATCATTTCTCCCAGTCTGCAAAATCCTGCCTCACGTGGTCTGTGGGATCAGACCAAGACTTTTAGAAAGTAAGCCTTTCTAAGGTTGAGTTAAGGCTCACTGGGAGAGGAGTTTGTTTACATTCTGTTATAATGCTCAGAAATTTCACCCAGAATGTTAAAAAAGTATGAGATGTATCAGGGTCGATTGTGTATTTAAGAGAACTTAACTGAACATCAACAGCGTGTGACTGGCTAAATACCGTAGCGTTTATTAATAGCATGTAGATTCCTGTCTGAGCCTCTCTTTCCTTAGTGACAGGGTGTGTTCAGTTTGTAGGATGTAACTCAAAAGAATGATTTCTGAATGTCACCTTTCTCTCTTTTAGAGGAAAGAAGTTTGAGAAGAGGCATATTGAAGTGTTCACTGACCTCAGCAGCCCGTTCAGCAAAGATCAGTTAGATGTTATCATTCAGAACCTGAAGCGATACGGCATCTCCCTGCAGTTCTTGTAAGATCCTAAGACTAAAGAACGTAGATACATCCTGTTGTAATGAGATCATAAATGCTGTGGGCAGGACTTCGTTATAAATAACTTATGTAAGAGGCTTCTCTCTGCTCTGTGGTCGAACTTGTCAGATCAGTGTACTCCGTGGATATTCACTTACTTCTCTACGTACTGGACACTGTTTTGAGTTTTTGTTGATTAAAAAGATGAAAGACACAGTGGGACAGAAGGGTTCAGCTCAGTTTCACACCTTTTGTTCACTGTTTTTAGACTAAAAGGAAGAGGAATTAGAGGAATCTTTTGAGGACATTCAGTTCCTCTCTGCTTGTGTGTGGAAGGCTTTACCTAAACAATGACGGGATTGTTTTTCCTGAAATAGCTCTGGAGAACTCTAATCCTTTAAAGTGGAGAGGCATATTTTTAGATAGAAAGAAATGTCAACGTGGTTATCAGTTTAAATGTATATTAATGTTTATTGTGAGTTGTTTTTAATCTCTAAAGTAACTTTTTTACTTTAGGAACAAAATTCTTTAGAAATACATGTAAAATATATTTGTGTATTTCGAGGTAAGGGAACTGTGGTGGCCTAGTGGCAAGAAGCGGCATTGCAGTCCTGAAGGTGCCTGGTTTGAGGCTACGAGCTGCTGCTCCACAGGAGAAAGTTGGCCAGTCTCCTTCTATGCCATTAACTGCCTGTGAAAACTTGCCGGAGGCCCAGCTATGGATTGGTTCCAACTTTATCGTACACTATAACAACAATTTGAAAGTAGTGTTAGATATAAAAAAGAAGCGCAAGGGTGCGAGGGAGAGGAATAACCAAAGGAACTGGTCCCAGGAAACGAACAGGCCTTTACTGCACGCTCTGAGAGGGACACCAAGTGACCCAGCAGCATGGCATGCAGACAGCATCCAAATGGCGTGCCGGCAGTTTGGGAGGTTTCCTTTTTTATAGGGGTCCTGGGGAGGACTAAGATGGTACTTCTTGGAATTTGGCGTGTTAATTTAGTTAGGTTTTAGCTTTTTTTTTTTTGTTTTCTCAAGCTCAGACTCTTATCAGGATCCATTGTTTGATCTGGTCCTTGATGACCAGCTTAGGTGTTAATTAAGTTTCTCAGGAAGTGGTCGACTTGGGGGTGGTGGGGCAACTGCCATATTCTCCCTTCAAGTAGGGTATTTAGATTCAGTGGAGAAAATATATATTTGATATCTTGTTGGTAGAGAGCCCCTACTTCCTTTCCTCAAAGAACTTGAGTTTCTTTACCAGGCTTTCACTTTCTCTAGCTTATGTCCTCTCTAACAGAAAGTTCTTTTTGCTGTATTAATCTTTCCTGCTGCATTTGAAACCGATTTCGTCTTGTCCTATTTTTGGTGAAATCGGAGTGATGATAGAGGATGTTGAATTATTAAAGTATTTTGGGGACACTCATTTTTCAAATTAAAGGTTATGCCAAGAAGCCTGTAGCTCAGAGTAGTAACCCTTTGGCTCCTTCAGAATGCCTGCCACGGGGAATTAAGAACCTCTTGCATACATGTATCTCCTAAGACTGCCAAGGGGCACATCCTTTCCAGAGAACTGGGGGAGAATAGTTCCTGATAACCCATCAAGCTGATAGTTGTTGAAATGGTACTTCAGAGAAATTAAGGGCTTAAATGACACTTCTCTGTTGATTAGAAGTTTTCTCACCACTTCAGAAGCTCAGCTCAGTGACCGTTCCTATGTTTAGTCTCAAGATGCCTTCACTTGGTTGGAACACACAGCCCTTCTGTCAGTGCTTTTTTTTTAAATTTTTTTTTTAAATTTAAATCTTTTTTTTTTATACCGGTTTACCTAAGAAGTTTGTATACCTTGCTTTTCACACCAGATCTTTCACATTTCCTTTACCCACCCCTTCCTCCACTCGTCAAATTGTGCGACCCTATGATTAACGCAGCCCCCCCACTCTTAGATCCTCATACATGTTCCACAGTAATGGTCTTCTACGGTATTTGCCTTTATAAAGCCGAGTTAGTTCATTCAGTATAATGCTCTACAGTCCCTCCCAAGTTAGATGTTGTTGTTGTTGTTAGGTGCCATTGAGTCGTAGACGACTCATAGCGACTCTGTGAACGAACAGCCTGAGCACTGTTCATACATAGAGTTTCCGGAGGTAAGCCATTTGGGAAGTGGATGCCGCTCCTGCTTCCAGGCTTGTTTTAGTTGGGAAGCTCCAGCAAACACTTTGGCCCAAGTTAGATAGTGATTTATAAAATCATTGCTCCTGAATGCTACATAGTTTCCCATCATATGAATGTACTATAATTTCTCAATCCATTCAATTATGGTTGGAGATTTGGGCTGTTCCCATGTTCTTGTGATAGTGAATAACGCTGCTGTGAACATTGATGTACAAGGCTCCATTTGTGCCTCATTTTCTTAGGGTTTATTCTAAGCAGTGGAAAAACTGGGTCACATGGAATTTCTATATATAGCTTTTGAGGAAATGCCAAACTATATTCCAGTGTGACTGTACCATTTTATAGTTCTGACAGCAATGTATAAGACTTCTTATGTTGCAACATCCTCTCCATTTATTACTTGTTGTCCTGTTAATCTTTGCCACTGCTTCTGGAGTGAGATGGTACCTCATTGTGGTTTTGATTTTTGTCTCTCTTATTACCATTGATTTTGAGCATTTCTTCATGTGTCTCTTTGCCATCCAAATATCTTCCTCTTTAAAAAGGTCTTTCCACATCTTTTGCCCATTTTGTAATTGGATTATCAGTCTTTTTCTTATGGAGGCTTTGTAAGGTTCTGTAAACTTTTGATACAAGACCCTTGTTTCAAAAGGTACTGCCAAATGTTTGTTCCAATCAGTAGGTTTTCTTTTCACTTTTGTTGAAAAAAATTTTTGTTGCACACAGGGATTTAATCTTTAGAAGGTTCCATTCATCAATTTGATCCTCTCCAGGCTGTGTATTTCTGGCTGTATTTGGCATTTTCCTTATACCATAAAGTAGGCCTTCTAAGCTTGATCCCACTTTGTCTTTGATTAACTTTATGGTTTTGGGCTTTACTCTCAGGTCTCTGACCCACCTTGAGTTGATTTTTGTGTATAGTGTGAGATGTGGATCCTATTTAAGCTTTCTGCAGGTAGCAGTCCAGTTTTGCCAGCATCAGTTGTTAAAGAGGTTGTCGTTTCTCCATTTGATAGGTTTTATTTCCTTGTAGAATATCAGTTGACTGTAGGTAGCTGGGTCCGTTTCTGGATTCTCACTTCTGTTTCATTAGTCTATGTGCCTGTCCTATCAGTGTGAGCTGTTTTGGTTATTATTGCTGTATAGTAGGTTTTGAGGTCAGGGAGTGCTAAGCATCTCACTTCATTTTTGTTCTTCAACCATGTTTGGCTTATTTTTGGGGTCTTTTTCCTCTTCAAAAAACCTTAACAATTTCTTTTTTGATCTCTTTGAAGTGTGAATTTGTATCTGTATCAGGATTGCATGTAGATTGCTTTTGGTAGGATTGTCATTTTCACAGTTGAGTTCCTATCCATGAACAGGGCACATTTTCCCATTTATTTAGGTCTTGCTGATGTCGTTTTATTTGCTGCCTTTTTTTGTGTGTCTGAGCAACAAAGTGAAGTATAGGAAAGAGGAGACCTCATTTTTTTTTTAAATTGTTATTTGACCAATTTTGCTGTTTTTTAAAATTACATATTTTTATTGATTTGCATACAAGCATTTCTATACATTATCCAGCTGTAGTTTTAATTTCCTGGATAATATAGTAACCTTTCTCCCTGTGCTACAGACTTCCAGCACACAAAACAGAGTTTACGGTTTTGTTAAGGCCATTGCATCTCTGCTTTTTTCATTATTTGGTTAATCAGACTGATAACTTTCCCCCTTTTACTGTGTCAAAGAGGTTTCTGGCTCTTGAAACTGAAAGTGCTGGTGAGGTAGGTGAATCCCGTTTGCCAGCTGAGCTATCTGAAGCTCAGCTTGACTGGCATGCCCATTTTCACATAGCTTATGCGCGACCAGTGCACAATTGGAACCTTGCTTGTTCTTAGAACCTGCCCTTTAACTACTGCTGATCTTTTCCTATCAGTTTGCCTTTCGCAATTGGGAAGGAAGATGGAATGGGGGACAGAGGAGACGGCAACTTGCGCCCGGACCACCACGGACCTTTCCTTCCTCAAAAGGGCATGACTGAGCAGCAGAAGGAAGGTATTCGGATGGTGGAAAAGGTGATGAGATCTTTAGAAGGTGACGATGGGCTGGATGAGATTTACTCCTTCAGGTAAGGAGGGGAAAGGTTTACAGCTTTTCAGTCACACCTGTGTCCCTCTTTTGACTAGCAGTTTCCCTGCCTCTCCATTGATTACCACCAGTTGGTATACTGACTGTTCCTGAAAAAATGGTATGCAATCTCTGCCTTCTAAAAATTGCTGTGCTTGGCACAGGGTTTCCGGTTTATTTCCAGGATTTAGAAACTTATCTAAGAGAGTTAACAAACCTAATACAAAAGATGGAGTAATAGATTTTCCTCTTTATACCAATTTGGTGCACATTTCTTAAGCCCTTCCATAATAAATTGTTGTTGTGAACCATTAAATTGGACCAGACCCATAGCTGACCCTCCAGCCAGTTTTCAAAGGCAGTAAATCTCACAGAGGGAAATTGTCTATCCTTCTCTCATGGAGCAGCTGGTGGATTTAAACCATGTGCCTTGTGGATTGTACTTCAGCTTCTTACCGCTAGGCCACCAGAGCTCTCTAGTTTATTGGTAGGCACTAAATAGAAGTAATTTAATCACAGTTCTTAGTTGAACAATGGTTCAACAATTAGAATGCTTAAGTTACTAAAATATATATGTGCTCTAATTTTTTCATCCACCATTTAAAAATATTTCTAGTGATCTGTAATTGAAATTAAAGTCTACAGTCAGGGACTTCTCTAAATGATTGAGGAACAGTGACATCAGTTTGAGGACTAAGGTGAGCCTAATTCAGGCCATGATCTTTTTCAACATTTCCTATGCATCTGAGAGCTGGACAGTGAATAAGGATGGCAGAAGAATTGATGTCATTGAGCTGTAGTGTTGGAGAACAGTACTGAATATCTCATGGACTGTCAAAAGAACAAACACCTGTCTTAGAGAAGGTACAACTGGAGTGCTCCTTGGAGGAAAAGGTGATAAAATCTTGGTCTCACATACTTTAGGCATGCTGCCAGAGAGAGGCTATTCCTTGGGGAGGGAGTCCTTGGAAAGGCAGAGGGTTGGGTAAAGAGGAAGAAATCAAGTGAATTGACACAGACACTGTGAGGATAGCACAAGATAGGACAGGGTTCATATCTCTTCATAGGGTTGCTATCAGGCGTGCTGGACTTGAGACACCTAATAACAACATAATCGAAAACAGTACATCATGGTTTTCTAAATGCAGACCTTGGAAGTCATGGACAAATGGAAATTTTGGAAATAGAATTGTAGTTTCACAGGGGACTGCCAAAGGAATCACGTTTCTTTTCGTATCCATAAGGTGTGTTTCTAAGTTATTTCTCTTTCAGATTTGGATATGACTTGTTCTAAGGCAAGGATATAGACTGTAAGGTAACATTCTAACCCTGAGCCAGATGGGTTGGCACAGTGGTGACAGCAGTGTGCTCAGAAGACAATCAAGGACCAGACATCACTGCTTTCTTACGTGTAGGGTCTCAGTGAGTCAGGACCAACTCAATAGTCCCTAAGAACAGCAGCATAGAAATTACTGCTATTATTGAGTTATTCGCCGTAGTGTATTATCAAACCAAGACCAGACCCAAGTCTGACTCAGGATGACTCTCAGTCACATTTCCCAGGTTATTACTAATGAACAGGAGACACTGGTAGACTTGAACTTTCAGTTAGCAGTCTGAACACAGAACGCACATACCACCCAAGCTTCTTAGCAAATGAAATACAATAAAAAATTTAGTCCATTGGTCCTGTTAGCACGTTTCAGGTGCTCACGGCCATATATGCTTTGAAGCGCCTTACCCTGTTGGACAGGTGTCGTTAGAAACAGAACAGTTCCAGTTTTGCAGATAATTATACTAGACAATTTCATTTCTACTTGGGGAGGTGAAAATCTACTGCAAAACCGATCCAGCTGTTTGTAGTTGTTACAAATGAACGCAGGGCCTTAAAGCCTCTCCTAAAATAGAATCTAGACCTCTTGATAGTTTTAGAACTGACTGATAGCAGTGTTATATGAAACACATTACACCTAGTTCAGACCTTGATCTCTGGGAAAAACAAACCCCAGGTGTACCCTAAGCTTTGGTTGGTGTTGCTGTTAGGTGCATGGTTTTGGGTAAGCAGCACAGCTAGGCCACTAGAGCCTTATATCCCTGAGTTGTTTTCCTCTTAATGCTTCTAAAAACAGACTGTTGTTAGGTGCCCTCCAGTCACCTCTGACTTATAGTGATCCTGTGTATGATGTAGTCAAACGTGGCAGTAGTACCCGGCCCTGTCCGGCATCATTCTCTCAGTTACTACTGTGTTTCAGTCCATTAATGCAGTCTTGGTGTTACTCTTATCTTGCTGAATGTTTTCTTTTTTCTTACCTCCTGCTAATGATATTCTCCAGGGAAAATCCTTCTTGATTACATGTTCAAAGTATATAAGACAAAGTCTTACCCTTCTTGCTTCTAAGGAAAACTGTGGTTGTTCTTCCAAGATAGCTTTGTTCTCTGGCAGTCCCTGGGATGGTCAGTATTCTTGGCCATCACAGTAAGTCTTGTACATTGATTCTTTTATCTACCACATTTATTGTCCAGTTTTTACATTTACATACATACAGTTTTTAATATACATTAGAAATATCATTGCTGGACTCAGGTGCACATTAGTCCTCAAAACATAATTAGGCATTGTACTGATGAGAAATAGAGCTAATTAATGAATTATGAAATTGCAATGATATTATGGGATAGTGCTCATCCTATGACCGAAGTTTACGAGCTGAAGTTTTTACGCTAGGGTCTGACTTTTCAGGAATTTGGTGAATCCTTTATATTTTATAGAAACTCATTTATCAGTGTGCTTTCAGTGTATTTGTAAAAGTTTCCTTAGTGCTGAAAAAAAAAGGTTGAGAACCACTGACTGAGTAGAGAGAAAGACTGAATCGGGAAAGACGGAGATGTTCCTTTATGCCTGTCAGTACAAGAATTTTACCCTTTCTTCTATACCAGTTTTCCTGCATTTCTCTCTCTCAACTTGTGGTTATCTTTTGCCTACCTTCCTCTGCTGTTCCAGTCTTTATGACCAACAACAGCTTGCTTATTCTAGAAAAGAAATTCATCATCCTGCACAATGTAGCTTGAGGAAATTGTTACTTTCATATATATATATATATATATATATATATATATATATATACTCACACACATATATACTTTTTTTTTCCCTTCAAGTGAGAGCCTAAGGCAGCTGTGTGTCTTTAAGAAAATTAAAAGACATTCCATGTGCTGGCCTTGTCAGCTGACCATTGGCTCCAGTTTGTCCATAAAGATTGTGGCCTATAAATCGGTAAGTGGGAGATACACATTTTTAAAAAGAAATTTATGACAAGTAAATATGATTATACAAGAAACTGACAGTTCAGGTATGGATTGTTCAGTATTATAATTACTGCGTTAGTACTGTAATAACTGCTTTTTTTCTGTTCACTGAATCTTTCTATTTGCTTTGGTATTGGAGGACAGGGGGACAAGAAAACCTGACTGGGAACAAACATTTGGTAATACCATCTTAGAGAATAGTCTCATAACGAAAGTTTACAGAGTGCTCCTGGGCCTCCACAAGAAAAAGACTGACAACCCAATTATAAAATGGTCAAAAGACATGGAAAGAATTTTCACAGAGGAAGATAATTCGAATGGCCAACAGACATATGAAGAAATGCTCCAAATCACTGGCAATAAGTGAGATGCAAATCAAAACCACAATGAGAAAACATCTCGCTCTAGTAGCAGTGCCAAAGTTTAACAGGACAGCACGTAATTAATGTTGGAGAGGATGTGGCGCGTTAGGAAAACTCTTATACATTGTTGTTGGGATTGTAAAATAGTGCAACCATTCTGGAAGGTAGTTTGGCGCTTCGTCAAAAAACTTAATATAGAAATTCCATGTGACTCATTTATTTTACTGCTTGGAATATACCCTGAGAAAAGGAGAACTGAGTCACAAACAGGTTTGTACACAAGCTTTCATAGCAGCGTTATACACCATCGCAAGACCATGAAAACAGCCCACATGTCCAACTACAATCGAATGGATTGAGAAATTATGGTACAGTCACACAGAGGAATACTATGCAGCACGCAGAGCAATGATTTTGTAAATTACTACCTAACTTGGGAGGGACTGGAGAGCTTTTTGCTGAGTGAACATAGTCCCAAGGACAAATACTGCGTAAAATCATTATTGTAGAATGGGTATGAGGATTCAAGGCAAGGGGTGGGTGGGGTGGAGGAAGGGGGATGAGGATGTGCAGGGGTGGATTAATAATGGGGTTGTACAATTTGATGGAGGGGTGAGGGAAATTGGGAGAATCTGGTCTGAAAAACAATGTATTTAAATTTTGTAAATAATATAAATAAAAAACAACAACAGAAAAGTATTGGAGGAGCCCTGGTGACATACGGAGCAAAGCATTTGGTTGGCAACCTAAAAGGGTCAGCATTTTGAATGTGCAAGTCCCCCCACTGCAGGAGATGGGGCAGTCTGCTTCTGCCAAAATGTACAGCCCAGGAAACCCTCTGGGGCAGTGTGGCTCTCTGTCCTGTGGGGTCACTGTGGGTTGACAACTGTGGGTTTGTCTTTTGATGAATATAAAGGTGTCCAAGGAGAGGAAGAATTGTTTATCCTAGAGTTTGAGCCCCACCTCTTTCTCATTGTAGACAATTGAGAGCTAACCATGGGTTTAAGGCCTTTTTTTTTTTGTAAGAAGGAAAATGAAATGCATTGAGTTGTTTACATCCTTACAGTAGCATGCTAGAAATACACATTTACACCTGTGTGAAAACTTTAGCATTTTGGAGATTCAGTCACACCTGACTTAGTTATTAATGATTTGGTAGTAACATCTATGAGGTGTCAAAAATGGGTGTTTGTTACTGTGAAATTATACTGTAATATGTGTTTGTTTATACATAATACAATGCTTTACAAAACAATGTATTCTTGTTGATTATTTCATGTTTCACTCTTATTTGAAGCCTGATCCATTCCTCACAAGCCTCCTCACCTCTAAGTGTTCAAAAGAAATGTATAAAACAATTTTAACGTATAAAATAGTCATGAAAATATATTTCAACATTCATGTATTTTTTTTTATAACTAGTGGCTTAGGTCCATATACCCGTGAAAATATTAGCAATGGTTTTTATTAAAAATTCAAGTTCTTTTGAGTCTTAGAGTTCTGTCCCAGGAGTGAGCATACAGTCTGTTCTCATCCTTTTTCTAACTCTTCATATTTCCGTATTGATTTATGGCTGCCAGTAGATTCTTTCTCTGGTTGTATTGGAAAACTCATAGTTTTATAGTCTCCTTCCTCAGGAAGAATTCTCTTATTTGAGTGAATTAATATGTATTTGGTAGTAAAAGGATTTTGTGTAGGAAGTGCTTACATATGAACAAAATATTACTAAACTGTGATTACCCAGGGGAAGAAATGAAATGTAGACATACTTAACCACTTTATCTTACTTTAAGATAAACTACAGTTTAAACTCAGGTATATCTTAGTATGAAAACTTGTCTACATTATTATGAAGTATGTGAGTACATGCTATAGATTTTTCTACATGATCTAGTGAGTATTTCAATTGGATTTACCTTTTCCGTGTTGTCTATTTATTTATTTATTTTTAAATAAGATCGTACAGGAGAAAATTAAAAAGACTTGGACAATTGTGGATGCAAGAACCCTAAAAAAGGAAGATCTTAAAAAAGAAACAGTTTATTGCTTAAATGATGACAATGAAACCGAAGTTTCAAAAGAAGACACTATTCAAGGTACGTCGATAGTGTTTTCACTTTTGCCTAAAAGAGATTTTTTCCCCCCCGATACTGTTATTTTCCAGTTTATGCACTATAACTTCACTGTTTCATATATTTTACTTATTTTTAAAAGCTTTCATTTTAAAATTTTTTAAAACTTTATTTTAGCGAAAGTTTACAGAGAGTTTGGATTTCCATTCATTCATTGTTGCACTTTCCTCCCTGCCCATCACTTCCTGCCAATTTGCTTTTCTCTTTGAAAAGTTAAAAAAAATTAAAAAAAAAATTCTTTCACGGTTATACAATTTCCTCCCCCTTAAGTCCACTCCACTATGCAGCTTTCATTCTGGACTCTTGTCATAGCAATCAATACCTAATCATATATTCCTCCTAAACAT